AGAGGGTAAAACAAAAAACAAGTGAACAACTGGAGTACCATGTGTAAACATTTTATTTCAGATTATGATGTTACAGTGATTTAATGCTGTGGAGAGTTTCAGTGGCTTTAATGTATTCAGTCTCTACAGAGACAGTTGATTGTTCTGATGTTGGACTCATCCAGGTGGTGAATCTCTGAACAAACTGAGTCATGATTGGAAATTTCACTGAGTTCATGTCAGGCTGAACTGCTGGTTGATCTTGTTTGGGGATTTTTGAGACTGGAAAAATTTACATGTTGTTCGTTGCCACCTCTCGTCTCCCAGGTCCATAGACCTCACCAAGCTCCACCCAGAAACGCCTCTCAACAGTCCCACATGGCTGCATGTCTCACAAACAAAGCCTCGTGGAGCTTAGTTTCTGTGTGTAAACATGGCGTCTTTCACTTCGATTGACTCTCTGCAGAGTATTTCTGAGTCGATTAGTGTAGCATTTATGCCAGATTTTCAAAAAATATCAGCCACGACAATGGACAGGGGAACCAACAAGTTCATATCTTTTTTGGACGACATCAAGGTGTTTGAGCCACGCGATGCCTCCAACATTGTGCGCGTCGCAGCTAAAAGCTACCGATCAACGAGGAAAACAGCAGATCCTCACACCCTCAGCATAAATATAGCTGTGGATGAGATCAGTGATGCCTGTTGTTCTTGCAAGGCTGGGTAAGTCGGACATTCATGGTTTTGACGGTTACTTTTGAAATCAGTGATTTCTGTTGTTGGCAAATGTTTGAGTGTGCCTATGCCTGACATACTGTACTCGGTGCTAGCGTGGCTAACATGATTACAGTTTAGTAAAAAGCCTTTTCAGGTAAAATAAAATCTTTAATGCATGTCAGATACGGTACACATTGCATATTGATCTGTTCAGCTAACGTAACACTGTGTAACAGACAGGCTTCAGGGTGTAGAAGTTGTATCGGTACTGCCTTTATGCTGTACTTAGCTAAAATGTTTTCATAATGGATGTGTTTATTATTGACTTTTTCAGACTTGGGGTCATTGTTCACACATTATAGGCCTCCTTAAGACCTTATAATATTTCAAGCTTCAAAATTCAAAAGGGATCGGGAGGTGCTGGTGCCTATCTCTAGCTAACGTTCCGGGCGAGATGCGGGGTCACCCTGGACAGGTCACCAGTCTGTCGCAGGGCCACTCAAAATATCCCCATTCACTAGACACAAATAAAGCAAAGTTATAATACTTACACCAGCACACACTCCTTTGTTTTTATTGATCTGACGATGGTTGAGCTGAAAATGCGGTCGTGCACAAGCTTTGATCCAAGCTAGGCATTCCGTACCAGATTTGGGAATTCTGTGAATTTTAGTTCCACAAATACGATCAGGATGCCTGACATCGCCTGAACAGATTCCCCACTGACAGTGGAGAACCATTCTTTTTCGAGTCATTACGCATAAACTTTGATTGTGTAGATTGTGGTTTGCTAGTCCACAATCTACATTAGCATGTGTATACTACTTTAGCTTTTGTTTGTGAGACGGTCAAGCACGTGGTAGCTGCGCAGTGACGTCAAATGGGCATTAGCCAATGTTACGGCTTCAGTGGGTCTCTGCCCTTTTTTCCTTTTAGGGTTCTGCAGACAGGTCTCTGCAGGTGATGCGTGTTGCCCTGATTGGTGTTCTGCAGCTTTAAAACTTCCAGGCATGCAGCAGTCAGGGAGGCTTTTTCCTTCTCTCTCCTCCGAACCCCATGTGGTTTGGTTTGTATCTTTTGGTTGAGATTTGTTAGGTTTGTTTAGCATTTGTTTATTTCTGGTCACTTATAGGTTCTGCTTTAATCTATTTTGGTTTCTCATTTCAGGTATTCTTTTTTTTTTAGGGTTGTTTCTTTAATATAATTTAATAAATTCTACTTTCATTAAGTTACTAAATCCTTGTGTGGTCTCCTTTTAATGTTACCCCATCAAACGAGCCTGGTGGACGTAACACCAATGAAACGCGGACCCTGTGGTAAGGTCCATTGATGCCGTGTGTAAAAGTGAAACCAAGAAACTAGAATTTATTCAGAAAATCAAGTGCATAAAATCACACCAACAGCCCAACATATTCCTCAGAAACCAAAACCACAAAGAAAAAAATAATTACCTTAGAAAAATAAAGAAATACAAAGACCCGTCTCCAGAGAGCACAGTGGGTCACAGCCCAGCGATCTAATTGGCTGTTTAGCTCAATTACCTCTTCAAATCACTTTTACCTTGTAAAGACTGATTTGATTCATATTTTCAGGGGGAACATTGTGGAACCAACATGTACATTTGCTGCCTTCTTTCTTTGTTTCTTTGTTACTTACTTTATTACTGCTCAGGAAGTCAATCACTAAAGAGAGTCGGGCTGCACCTGAGCCGCCTGAAGATGCTGGTGGAGGATCCGGGTAAGAGAGGAAGATGGACGGACTCCTCCTCTCAGCAGGATAGTATGGATCAACAGGTTCGCCTCGACACGACTCTACCTAGCGTTAACATAGCAGACCTCACTTCATCTAAACAACCTGCCTCTGACCTCCCTGAGGATCCGGCACTCTGCGTTTCTGAGGTCTGAGACCGGGGTCCAGATATTATTTTTACAACCGTCTTCCACCAGAATGTGTCTGGCCCCCCGACATTTCATAGCAGGACATTACCTTGTAACATAACCACTATGTTTGTTTTTTTTTTTTTTCCTGTAGAAAATACATTGAAGAGAAAATGTATAATCTGATTGGTATAACAGTTGCTGTTATTTCTTTGTAAAATTATTCAGAGTTTTCACTTTTAAAACTGATTTTTGGGCAGGTCATGCTGATTTTTAGGTGTGGCTGAGATTTAGTGTATAAAAAGGGGCGTGTGCGTCGGCGCGCCGCGGCGCAATCAGAGTGGAAGACGCTCACCGTCAGATCCGTGCAGCGGGAGACTTGAATTAACTGAACGTTTAGAACAAATAATAAATCAAAGTTCGCCCCAGCGACTCGGATCGTGCGCTTTAGGAGCTGGATTGGAGCTTGTGCACAGGAAACGCCGCCAGGTGCAGGAGGACGCCAATTGGCCAGAGGACGCCGACGGAGCGAGAGGACGCCAAAAGAAAGACATTCCCGGTGAGATCTGGACTTTACGTTTCTTTTTGGGGATTTTTGGTGGTACCACTCCTTTTTCTCATTTTTTGGGGGGAGGTTTTTGACGCTTGGGATTTTTCGTTTTGGATTGGGACTTTGGATTAAAAGGGAGAAATTCTCCCATGATATGGAACTCGTTTGTGGACAATATTCATATATTTGGACATTTAACCATTTGGGTTTCTTTACTAACATGAACTAAGTGGATTAAACCTATCCTAAACTTATTTTGAGAGAGTTTTGGTTACTGATTTATTTATCAGGATAACTATTATTATATATTATTATTATTAGTTCGTGTTTTTTTTTTTTTTTTGAATAAATCATTGTTGCAAAAGAACAACATAATTTCATATTTGAGTGTTTGGCTATTTATTTACTTTTCAATTTAACTGGTGTAACATTTTTTGCCTGATGCCTGTGATGTATCCCTCTTGTGTGTATTTGTGAGTGCCGCTTTAAATGGGAGCTGAATTTTACAACCTGTCCGGATCACTACAAGACAAGTTATAAAAAACAGAAATACAAAAAGCAGTGGTCTTAATTCAAACCTCAGACTGAACAACTTTCACCACCAAATCACTTAAACTGGCTCTTTGAAACACCAGATCTCTTTGTGCTAAAGCTATATTAATTAATGATGTCATCACTGAGCATAATATTGATGTTTTATTTCTGACAGAAACATGGCTGAATGACAATAATGAACCAATCGTACTAAATGAATGAAAACACAAAAAAGGAGGAGGCGTGGCTTCAATATTTAAGAATCCCATGAACTGTAGTAAAATCTCTCTGGGTCATTTTATGTCTTTTGAGTATCTTGGAATTGAGGTAAAAGGCCACAAACGAACTTTGATACTAACTTTATACAAAACCCCAACATATGAGGAAAATTTCTTTATGGACTTCAATGAACTTCTATCTCTCATATGCATTGATTACGATTGTTTGATAATTGTCGGTGATTTCAATATTCATGTTGACAACCCCCAAGACCGAGGGGCAAAAAAGCTGTTTAATATATTAGAGAGTTTTGTTCTAACACAACATGTCAAACAAGCAACACACACTCATGGACACACACTGGACCTAGTTATCGGTAAGGGTGTGAATATTTCCAATGTCTCTGTAACTGATGTCGCCTGTCGGATCACTTTGCTGTTATCTTTGAAAGTTCTTTATCCGTTAACGGACAAACTGCTACTATCACAAAACGTACTTTCACAGAAAACGCAGCAGAGACATTTAATCAAATCTACTCTTCTTCCTTGCCCTTAACCTATAATGAC